ATTATCCATTATCCTTTACGTTCATTGTCTTCTTTTTCTTCCCGATCACGATTTGTTTGTTGTTGATTCCGCTTCTGTATTTCATAGATTCTCTTTAAATCTCATCGGGTTTAGGTTTATCGGACAAAAAAGAAAAAAGGAAAGAATCTCATTGGGTTCAGGTTTATCGGAGAAAAAAAGAAAGAAAGAAAGAATCTCATTGAGTTTAGGTTTATCACAAAAGAAAGAAAGAAAGAAAGAAAGAAAGAAAGAAAGAAAGAAAGAAAGAATCTCATTGGATTTAGGTTTATCACACAAAAAAGAAAGAAAGAAAGAATCTCATTGGGTTTAGGTTTATCACAAAAGAACGAAAGAAAGAAAGAAAGAAGAAAGAAAGAAAGAATCTCATTGGGTTTAGGTTTATCACACAAGAAAGAAAGAAAGAAAAAAAGGGCGAAAGAAAGAAAGAAAGAAAGAAAGAAAGAAAGAAAGAAAGAAAGAAAGAAAAGAAGAAATACAGAAAAAATCTCATTGGGTGTAGGTTTATCGAACAAAGAAAGAAAGAAAGAAAGAAAGAAAGAAAGAAAGAAAGAAAGAACGAAAAAAGAATCAAACAGAAAAACAAAGAAATAAAGAAAGAAAGCTAAAAGAAAGAGAGAAAAAAAGAGATATTGAAAAAACTGAAAGTTAAAAAAAAAAAAATTTTACCTAAGAATTGAAATAAAAATGGAAGAGAAACGAAAAAGACAAAAACAAAAACAAAAGTAAGATGGAAGAAAGAAACAAAGAAAAAGAAATAGAAAAAAACAGAAAGACGTAAGTTGGGAAAAGAGAAATGGAAGACGGAAAATAACAAATAAAACCAAAGGAAAAAAATATTTATATGATAACAATTTTTATAACTTGGAAATAAATTTGAGAATAATCGAAATTAATTTGTTTTTGTTTGTATTTATCTATTTCAGAACGCAATATTATTTTCCATTAGAACGTAGTAATAATTTTCGACTGAAGAAAAGCTATTGTTGGATATAACCATGTAACCTGTGGATGAACTGGGCTTTTTCTCGTAGAAGAAAACTGAAAAAGAGATGAAACCTGTGAATAGGACTTTCTAAAGAAAACCAAGAAAGAAATGGAGACGCAAAAAAAGAAAAAAAGACAAAAAAGGCAAAAGAAATAAAGTAAATAATAAGAAAAATGATGACATTTGAAAAATCAAATAGGAAGAAGTAAGAAAATAATGAAAAATTGAAGAAAGAAAGAGTTTGACTGAAAACTGAACGAAAGAAAAGAAGGAAAAAGAACAGTAAAAGAAAAAATAGAAGAAAATGAAAAGAAAAAAAGAAAGAAAGAAAGAAAGAAGGACAGAAGAAAGCAAGAAATAAAGAAATTAAAAAAAGAAAAAAGAGAGAAGCATAAGAAAAAGGAAAAATATTCAGAAAAAGGAAAGAAAGAGCTTAAATGAAAGAGACATGGAAGCAAGAAAGAAAATGAATTTAAAATGAAAACTGAACGAAAAATAGAAGCAGAATTCAATCAAGAAAGACAAACAGAAAGAACAAAGATTGGCGAAAGAAACAAAAAAAATAAATAAAATGAAAAAAATGCGAATGGAAGAAATGGAAAAATAATAAAAGAAAAAAAAACGAAGAAAAAGTTTAAATGAAAGTTAAAAGAAAGGAAAATGGAATCAATAAGATAAAAAAGGAAGGAAGGAAGGAAGGAAGGAAGGAAGGAAGAGAATTTTAGAAGTAAAAGAAAAATGGAATCAGAAAACTGAATGATGATAAAAGAAAGAAAGAAGTAGAAATGTAACATGGCAAAATTTAAAAAGCAGAACATTGAATAAAGAAAGAAAAAACAGAAGAAAGAAAGTGTTTAGAAGAAAGTTTTAAAAACAAAGCTGAAAGAACGAAAAAAGAAAGGAACTTTTAAAATGAAAGAATGAAAAAGAAAGAAAATTAAAAAAAAGAGCTTAGATAAAAGTTGAAACAAAGAACAATAAATCAGAAGAAAACAAAGTGAATTTTCGATCCAAATTAAGACAGAAAACGGTCGCAGAAAAAGAAAGAAAGAATGGAAGTCAAAAGAAAGAAAAGAAAAGAAAAGAAATAAGCAGAAAGAGTGTAAAAGAAGAGAATAAATATAAGAATTATAGAAAGAAAGAAAAAAGAAGCAAAGTGAGGAGAAAAAGAACTGAAGATTTAAAAGTAAGAAAGAAAAAAGGAAATATATTAATAAAAGTAAAAAAAGAAAGAAAAAGCAGCAGGAAAAGGATAGATGAATATATGAATTAAAGAGAAAAAAGGAAACGAAAGATGAGGAAATAAAGGACAGAAGAGTATAAAAAAGAAAGAAAGAAAGAAAGAAAAAGAAAGAAAGAAAGGAAGAAAGAAAGAAACATAAATACAAAGAAAGAAAAAGGAAAGAATACAGAAGTAAGGAAATAAATAATTAAATAAATAAATAGAAAATGAAGAAAGAAAGAAAGGAAAGACAGAAAGAAAGAAAGAAAGAAAGAAAGAAAGAAAAATACATAAAGAAAGAAAAAGAAAGAAAGAATAAAGAAGAATAGAAAGAAAGAAAAATACATATAGAAAGAAAGCGGGAAAGAATGAAAGAAAAATAGATAAGTAAAGAAAGAAAGAAAGAAAAAGAAAGAAAGGAAGAAAGAAAGAAAGAAAGAAAGAAAGAAAGAAAGAAAGAAAGAAAGAAAGAAAGAAAGAAAGAAAGGAAGAAAGAAAGAAACATAAATACAAAGAAAGAAAAAGGAAAGAATACAGAAGTAAGGAAATAAATAATTAAATAAATAAATAGAAAATGAAGAAAGAAAGAAAGAAAGGAAAGAAAGAAAGAAAGAAAGAAAAATACATAAAGAAAGAAAAAGAAAGAAAGAATAAAGAAGAATAGAAAGAAAGAAAGAAAAATACATAAAGAAAGAAAGGGAAAGAATGAAAGAAAAATAGATAAGTAAATAAAGAAAGAAAGAAAAAGAAAGAAATGAAGAAAGAAAGAAAGAAAGAAAGAAAGAAAGAAAGAAAGAAAAGGGAGGCAATAATGGGTCAATTGCCAAATGAAAAGAGATCTCAAAGAGAAAGTGCGTGGGTGAAGATTTTCGGCATTGTCGTCACTGGTGCCCTTATTTCTATTCTGGAAAAAGCACACGGCTTTTCACCGTTGGACAAAATAACTTTAAATAGAACAGAAGAAAGAGTGTCTGTTTTTAAAAAAGCTGTTTCTTTTGTGAATACAGAAAACTCTTTAGAGAACCCAGAAAAAGAAACACAATCAATTATTATTAATACATTTTTTATTACAAAGATTCTTTTGAAGTGTAAAGAAAAAAGAAATGTTTTATCTTACTTGCAAATCCTCCCGAAATATTCTTTCCCTATTATTATGATTATTAGTAGTACTATTACTATTATTATATTCATTAAGTTCTCATTACAACGTAGGTTGTGGCGATTTTCTCTAGGGACCAAGTGACAGCAAAACCTGGGTATGACGATAATCTACATCCGCGTCCTGGGTATGACGATAAACTGCATCCAACAGCAAGGCCTCTGATCAGGCGGTTTTGTGGAGCGCGTAACCACATCTTAATTGTTGGTGTTCCCAAGTCCACCCTGACCCGGGGGGTAGCACCTGTTAGGGTGCCAGCTATGGGCGAATAGTTAAGATTCAAACTTGGATAAAAGCACTATGAAAGTGTAAAAATGGGTTTTAATACAAACTATACATTTTTGTAAAAAAATATTACCAGCAATACATTTTTGGAGAAAAAATTATTACCAGCAATTATTACAACGGATTCTCTTTCAGTTACTTTCTCACGAACGCAAGTGTTCCCCAAGGCTCTATCTTGGGCCCTAAATTGTTTCTGGTCTTCATTAACGATCTTCCCGATGTCATTGCTTCCCAATTAAGCATCTATGCGGACGACAATACTGTTTACTCCGGCCTCAGTAGAAAATCTGTCATCGCTGCGTGTTGGTCTCGAAAAGGACCTCCAATCGGTTGCTGACTGGGGCAAGAAATGGCGAGTTAACTTTAATGCTTCAAAAACAAAACTGCTCTCTTTTACCCACCTCAGAGAATCCTCCATGTCCCCCCCCCCATTAGAAGCTCTGATGCTCAGCTCCACGAGAGCACCTTTGCAACTGCTTGGTCTCACACTGTCTGCTGATCTGAGATGGAACAAATACATTGAATCAATAGCTTCATCTACCACAAGGAAAGTTGGTTTTCTGTGTCGCGCCAGAAAGTTTTTTCTCATCCGTCCTTCCTTCAAATCTATAAATCAACCATTCGCCCTTGCATGGAATACATATATGGTCTAGTACCCCCGCTATACGCCTCGAGGTCATCGACAAAATCCAGAAACGAATATGCAATGTGATAGGTTCTGATCTGGTATCTCGCCTACAGTCACTTTTTCACAGACTGTGACTTCCCTCTGTCTTTTCTACAAATACTTTCACGGTAACTGCTCCGGCGTGCTACTTTTGCTGGTTCACAAACTGCATGAATTTAAACGTGCTACTAGGTTGGCATCTCAACCCCAGCCTTTCACTGTGGAAACGGTTAAATGTAGCCGTCTCTTCTACTCCAATAGCTTCATGTCTCGCAATTCCCGTCTGTGGAACTCCCTTTCTTTTACTTGCTTCCCTGATTGCTATAATGCTCAAATATTCAAATGTAATGTCAATTGACATCTCCAGATGCCTTGATCTATTCCCTGTCCTTCTCGTCATCCTTTCCTCTATCTCGACTCTTTACTCTTGCTCCCATTCTCTGCTAGTGGCACTCCTGCCTTGCTTGAAACAAAAGCAAAAAACGAAGAAAAAAGTGGGCTTTATACATTAGATTAACATATAATTGAATAAATAAAGACAAAAGGAAAATTTATCATAGCCGACAGTTTTCGTCATCTGTAGAACTTTATCAAGAGAAATGCAAGGAGATTATTTTGTGACAAGTATTTATATACAAATACAAATTTTTAAAATTTAACAATGTATCATGTTTATATTTTTATCCTATTTTATTCCGTATTTTTATTTTCTGAGGTTTTGTTTCATTCTTTCTTCCTTTCTCGATCACATTATCCATTGTTTCTTTTCTCTTTTTTGTCTATCTTTTTTCCTTGTATATTTTATATAAATTCTTCTGTCCTTCTTTTTTTATTTTCTACGCCTGTCTTTCATTTTTTTTTTCTTTTTCGATCATATAACACATTGTTTCTTTTCTCTTTTTTTCTTTCTCTATTTTTGGCTTGCATATTTTACATAAAGTCTTCCGTCATTTTTTTTAATATTCTTCCTGTTTTTCTTTCTTTCTTTTTTTCTTTGTCATATCCGCCATTGTTGCTTTTCTCTTTTTTTCTTTCTCTCTTTTTCGCTTGTGTATTTTACCTAATTTCATTCTTCTTTCTATTTATTTTCAATACCTTACTTTATTTCATTCTTTTTTTTTCTCGATCATATCGGCCATTTTTTTTTCCTTCTTTCGTTCTTTCTTTCGGTTTTCCTTTCGGTCTTTCTTTCTTTTTTTTCTTTCTCGATTATATCAACCATTATTTCTCTTCAAATTTTTGTCTTTTCTTGTCATTTTTTTTTTTTTTGCACTTGTATTTTATCTAAATTCTTCCGTCATTGTATTTATTATCTACGTCATTCTTTCTTTCATTCTTTCTTTCTCGGTCAACTCATCCATTCTTGCTTTTCTTTTTTTTCTTTCTATATCTTTTGCTTGTATATTTTAACTAATTTCTTCCAACTTTCTTTTAATTTTCTGCGTCTTCCTTTTTTCAATTCTTTTCTTTCTTTCTTTCTTTCTTTCTTTCTTTCTTTCTTTCTTTCTTTCTTTCTTTCCCGATCATATCATCCATTGTTGCGTTCTTCCTTTTCTATTTTTGGCTAGTATATGTTAGATAATTTCTTCCGATTTTTCTGTTTATTTTCTACGTCTTACTTTCTTCGACTTTCTTTCTTTTATTCTTGTTTTTTTCTCGAGCATATCATCTATTGTTGCTTTTCTCTTTTTTCTTTCTCTATTTTCGGCTTGAATATTTTACGTAATTCCTCTCATCAGTCTATTTATTTTCTACGTCTTTCTTTCTTTCTGTCTTTCTTTCCTTCTCGATCATATCATCCATCGATTCTTTTCACTTTTTCCCATTTCTTTCCTTGAATATTGTATCTAGTTTCTTCCATCTTTATTTTTGTTTTCTACGTCTTTCTTTCATTCATTCTTTCTTTCTTTGTCGATCCTATCATCCATTGTTGATTTTCCCTTTTTTGTTTCTCTATTTTTTTGTTTGTGTGTTATACCTAATTTCTTTCTTCTGTCTTTTTATTCTCTACGTCTTTCTTTCTGTCTTTCTTTTATTCTTTCTTTCTCGATCATATTTATCCATTGTTTCATTTCGCTTTTCTCTATTTTTTTCTTTTATATATTAAATACATCTTGCTTTTTTATGTCCAACGCTTTTCTTTCATTATTTCATTCTTATTCGATCCTATCATCCATTGTATCTTTTCTTTTTCTTTATTTGGTATTGTGCACTTTAACTAATTTATTCTGAATTTCTTTTTATTTTCTACGGCTTCTGTCTTTCATTTTTTCTTTCTTTCTTTCTTTCTTCCTTGGTCATTTCATCGTTTCTTTTCGTTTTTGTTTTTTTGTTTCTCGACCTAAATTTTTCTATGATTCTATTTATTTTCTACATCTTTCTTTCTTTCTTTTTTTCTTTCAATCGTTCTTTCTTTATTTCAGTCTTTCTTTCTTTCACAATGTTATCATCTATTGTTTCCTTTATGTTTTTTATTTCTCTGTTTTTTTTTTCTTTTTTTTTTTTGCTTGTATATTTTGTCTAATTAATTCCGTCTTCCTTTTTTATTTTCAACGATTTTTCTTTCATTTTTTTCTTTCATTCTCGATTTCATCCATTGTTTCTTTTCTCTTTTTGGGTTCTGTATTTTTCCTTATATATTTTACCGATTTTTTCTGTCTTTTATTTCTACGTTTTCTTTCTTTCTTTCTTTTTTTTTTCTTTCTTTCTTTCTTTCTTTCTTTCTTTCTTTCTTATTTCTTTCTCTATTTTTGCAACTATATTTTACCTAAATTCTTCTGTTTCATTGTAGGTCTTTCTCTCTTTCATTCTTTCTTTCATTCTCAATCAAATCATCCATTGTTTATTTTCTCTTTTTTCTTTTTTACTAGTATATTATAACTTATTTCTTCCGTCTACCTTTTTTTTTAAATTTTCTACGTCTTTCTTTCAGTCTTTCTTTCATTCATATTTTCCTTCATTGTTTGTTTGTTTGTCTGCCTGTTTGTTTGTTTGTTTGTTTGTTTCTTTCTTTTTTTCTTTCTTTCCCGATCATATCATCCATTGTTTCATTTCTCGTTTCTCTTCTTTTGGCTTGTATATTTTACCTTATTTATTTCGCCTTATTTATTTTGTATGTTTTTCTTTCTTTCTTTCTCGGTCATGTTATTCATTATTTCTTTTTCTTTTTTGTTTCTCTGTTTTTAGTTTGTATATTTTACCTAATTTCTTCACTCTTTCTTTTTCTTCTACGTCTTTCTTTCTTTCTTTCTTTCTTTCTTTCTTTCTTTCTTTCTTATTTTTCGATCATACCATACATCGTTTCTTTCTCTTTTTTGTTTCTCTATTTTTGCTTTTATATTTTACCAAATTTATTCCGTTTTTGTTTTTATTTTCTACGTCTTTCTTTTTCCATAACATGATCGAGAAAGAAAGAAAGAATGAATGAAATAAAGAATGAATGAAAGAAAGAAAAACATTTGTGGGGGGGGGCTTTGTCCAATTTTTGTTGGTATATTTTTTCTAATTTCTTCCGTCTTTCTTTTTATTTTCTACGTGTTTTCTATGCGTTCTTTCTTTCTCGATTATGCCATCGATTGTTTCTTTTTTCTTTCTTTATTTTGTCTTGTATACTGTACCTAGTTTTTTGTTTTCCTTTTTATATTCTATGCCTTTCTTTCTTTCTTTCTTTCTTTTTTTCTTTCTTTCTTTCGTCTATTTGTTTCTTTGTTTCATTCTTTCTTTCTTTCTCTGTCATTTCCTCCATTATTCCTTTTCCTTTTTTTGTTTCTTTATTTTTGGCTTGTATATTTTACCTAATTTCTTCCACTATTCTTTTTATTTTTTACGTCTTTCTTTCTTTCTTTCTTTCTTTCTTTCTTTTGTTCGTTCGTTCTCTCGTTGTTTCAGTATTTCCTTTTTCTTTCTCGATCATATCATTCGTTGTTTCTTCATTCTTTTGTACTTTTTCTTTATTTTTTCTTGTTTATTTTGCCTAAATTCTTCCCTCTGCTTTTTATTTTGTACCTCATTTTTCTTTCTTTCTTTCTTTCTTTCTTTCTTTCTTTCTTTCTTTCTTTCCCGATAATATCCATTGTTTTTTCTTTCTTTTTTGTTACGCTATTTTTTCCTTCTATATTTTACCTAATTTCTTCCGTTTTTCTTATTATTTTCTTCATTTTCTTCTCCTTCGTTGTTTACTTGTTTCTTTCCTTCCTTATTTTTTCTTTCTTTCTCGGTCATATCTTCCATTGTATCTTTTGTCTTTTTGGTTTCTCTATTTTTTTGTTTGCTTATTTTACCTTCTATTTTCTTCCCTTCTTTCTTTATTTTCTTCCTCTTTTTTTACTTTCTACGTTTTTCCTTTCTTTCATTCATTCTTTCTTTCTTTCTCGATCATGTCATCCATTGTTTCTTTTCTCTTTTTTGATTCTTTATTTTTTTTATTGTATATTTTATTTAATTTCTTTCGTATTTCTTTTTATTTTCTCTGTCTTTTTTTTTTTCCATTTCCTTTTCCCGATCCTATCATCCGTTTATTCTTTTGACGTTTTTGTTTCTTTATTTTTTGTTTGTGTTATTCTTCCTATTTCCTCCCGTCTTTTTTATTCTCTACGTCTTTCTTTCTTTCTTTCTTTCTTTCTTTCTTTCTTTTCTTTTTTTTTTTTCTTTCTTTTTTTCCTTTGTCTTTTCTTTCTTTCTTTTCTTTTTTTCTTTCTTTCGTTCTTTCTTTCTTTCTTTCTTTCTTTTTCTCCTTCGTCTTTCTTTCCTTCTTTTTTCCTTCTTTCTTTCTTTCTTTCCTTTTCGTCTTTCTTTCCTTCGTTCTTTCCTTCTTTCTTTCTTTTTTTTTTTCGATCATATCATCCATTTCATCCACCCCTTCTATGCTCTCATCTGCTATCCGTGATTTATATAGGTAAATCTGTTAATATATAAATAGACAGTTAAATATGTCGGCCAGTATGTTTGTTCCAACTTTGTTCTACTGATGGTGAGAATATTGTTAATCGCAATTAAGCTGTTTTACTTATAAAGAAATGTTCGGTGTTCATTACCCGAAAATCCAGTATTACTGTTATTTTGAATTTATAATTTTTTCCATTAAGAATTTTTTTTCCCCAAACATAGCTTTCTCAAGACCAATAAGTGTTATTACCCTTTCCAGTATTCCTGGAATTTTCCTTCCTAACCCTTTGTTTAAAGTCGTGTGGAATGTCAACATCTTGATTATATCACTATTTTCCCTTCGATTTACATGTGCTATTCATTTTAGTTCTTGCTGTTGTTGAATGTCCGTAAGTGATGTGGTTTCTGTTATCTGGTTCACGTTCTTTGATTCTGATTCTGTAGCACCAGTCTGTCTATTTCGAAGAAGTATGGTCCTAGCTGAGACTTGCAGGCTTCATTCACTTAATCATGTAGCCGAGAAAAAAGGTTGAATACAGCTGAGTGTTTAGATATTTCTGAACAAGTTTGGTATGATGCATGAAATTTATATGGAAGTCTTGACCTGACGAGGCTATTCAAGAACAGGATTCGAGTTTTCAGTTTAATGTTTTGGTTTTGTAGTAACATGCAGTGTCGCGTGAAAATATCCCTGTTGCAGTCTACTGTATGTTCGATTATAATCATAAATTTAGGGACCAATCAATAATACTCGGACACAGGATAATAGCAATAGTCATTCAGGGGAGATTATAACCATCTTACTACGATCTTTTGGTAAACAAAGATGAAGTGTGATTTCAGTCTATCGGCAGCCTTTACTTAGCGATTTATGTCAACCGATTTGACGGTTAATAAAAAATCTGAAATCGATAAATCAATTTGGCAAATGATTTTGCCATCTCGTGATGAGGTTCTTTTTCATGATAATTTCGCAATTAGAGATTTTCTGAATTTCTAATTAAATAACCCAATCGAAAGGGTTGTAGGGGAGAAGAGGAAGAGAAAAGAGAGGTAAAAAAAAAAACGGGAAACTGAGACGAATTGAAAAAAAAAATTAGATAAAGAAAGAAAGAAAGAAAGAAAGAAAGAGAGAAAGAAAGATTGAATGAAATGAATGAATGAAGCAGTGAATAATGAAAAAGAAAGACGAAAAGAATGAAACAAAGAGAATAGAAAAAGTAGATTGATTAAGAAAGAAAGAAAGAAATAAAGAAAGAAAGAAAATGATATGTACACAAAATAAAAAAGAACAGAAAAATTAAATAGATGAAAAGATCGGTAAAATAGAAAAATATATATTTAATGGAGAAAGAAAGAAAAGAACTTAGAAAATAAAAAAAGACAAAAATGAAAAAAAAAATG